GAGAGCCACACGTGCCCCGGAGTGTTTGTGTTTGGAGCACTGACTCCTCAGCCACCGCCCGGGAGCAGCGGTGGTTCCGAAAGCTGGCGGGGGCTGTGCCTGGGCCCGGAGGAGGCAGGGAGGAGCATGCCGGCCCTCGGCTGTGACTCCTTGAGGTGGGAACGAGAGCAGCGCAGTGGCCAGGAGGGTGTGTTTGCCCCTGGATGTCCCACAAGAGCAAAGTCACAGGGGTGTCAGGGGTGTCAGAGGAACAGTTGGGACCAAGATCCCACTCAGGGCTGCATCCCTGGAGGTCCCAGGCTGACAGCAGGGCAGTGGGGCTCCAAGCCCCTTACCGGTCCCTTCGGGATGACATGTTACAAATCCAAAAGATGCTCAGGCACATGGTGAATAAGGCTGTCACCAACGGGAGTCATGGGGACCTTTTTACTGAGTTATGTTTCCAGCCCAAGTCCCTTGGCCTAGAAGGGCGGCACCATCTCCCTGCTGCTCCTGCTGCTTCTCTGTGCACTGTGACACCCGTGCCAGGTGAGGACGGGACGTCCTGTCCACGCCCTGCCAGGAAGGGGCATTCTCTGCACTTAAATTCGCAGGCACAGAGGCGCCTGGTCCCCACAGCACCCTAGAGCCTGAGGGCACCCCAGGCTGCTTGGCCACCTCCACAGGGCTGGTAGCCCCAGGCATGACCCTGTCTTCTCTGGGCCTCTAGTGGCCCCTGTGCCCCCCTCCCCTCAGGGAACCTAGCAGGACGAGACCAGGGACTAGCACTGAGGTGTCCCCAACGATTTTATTATAAAGAAAAACAAGACTTCCACTTGGCTGCAGCCCCTGCCTCAGAGGCTGTGAGCACCTGTCACAGGGACCTGTCCCATTTTGCCCATCTGAAGGCCAGAACCAGGGAAAGGGCCCCCTGTCCTGCCAAGCAAAAGGGGGCCTGAGGTACCCAGGGTAAGACTGGGAGGGACTCCCAGGCAGTGCTGACCCGCCAGGCCAGGAGGCTGCCCACCCCACCCCCTCTGCCCTCTGCCCTCTGCCCCCGCCTGGGCTGGCTCCCTTCCCTTCACACCACACTCTCCTCCAGCCGCTCCGCACTGCCCCCCACCCCCCGGCACCCTGCAGTGAGCAGCCCCCCATGCACAGAGTGGCTCCGTCGGGCCCAGGCCCCCCCGAGGCGCCTGGCATAACCGTAGCACCCGCCAGTGTCTCCCAGGTCCAGGGAGCAGCTACGCTGGGGGCGAGGCGGGGGGCTCCGTGGCGGGTGCACCTTGGGTGTGGGGCTGGGGCCTCCGTTGGTCTGCGATTGGACGTGGCTGAGCTTGAGGGGGAGGCGGCCATTCCCGGCCCCCCGGCCCCGAACCAGCAAGGCCACAGTGAAGACCAGTAAGGCAGCCACCAACACACCCCCCACAGCCACGGTCAGGGTCCCGCCCAGCACGTGGGCCTGCAGGGCGTGGCACAGGGGTGTGGCTGGCAGCGTGGAAAAGTGGGCACAGCCCAGCAGCCTGGTGGCGGTGAGGTCGGAAGGCCCAGCAGCAGGTGACAGGGCCAGCAGGCAGAGGTCATAGTCGGCACCGGGGACCAGGTGCTTCAGAAGGAAGTGGTGGCTGGAGGCTGGGACGATCCTGCGGGCAAGAGCAAGTGGTCAGAGCCCAGATTGGGGTCCAGGCCCTCATCCCCACCTCCCCATGGCCACAAAACCTCAAAGCCCCCTTCACAGCCCACCCACCCAGTGCTACCATCATGTACCCCCAGGTCCCAGCTCTGAACACTCCACACCCCTTTCCCCAAGACCACATGGGCCTCTGTGTTTAAGGAGGCAGAGAAACCAAAACAGGCATGTGTGGCACTGGAGATGGTGTAAGGGGCCAGAGGTGTGCGAGCTGACACCCAGGCCCAGAGCCAGACGAGGCAGCCGTGGAGGAGCACATGCCAGAGGCAGAAACAATGCGCATGTGTGGGCCAAGCCCACGTGCTTAAACAGATACCAAGAGCCCAACATGGGAGGCCTCTGCACCTGCTTGGCCACATCTGAGAGACCTCGTGGGGCACAGCCTCCCTCCTCCCGTCACCCCCCACCTCCTCTCTCTGCTGCCTTGCCCTCCTCTCCCTCCTCCCCCTGCAACACCAATACCCCCCAGGTAGCTCAGAAGCTGAGGAAGGGTGTGGGGAAACCCCAAGGGGGGAGAAGGAGCAGGAGAGGTGGCCAAGCCCGGGAGGGGTGAGCAGGGCTCGGAGGGAAAGCGGCGGGGAGTGAAGCTGGGGTCACGGACCGCAAAGTGCATCCTCACCTGTAGATGAGGGTCTCGTCCTCACTGCTGTTGTACTGGATTTGGAACATCCACACAGGGTCCGCTGGCCGCCCTGGCCCCCAGCTCACAAGCCCCGAGGTGGCGGTCACCTCCGTCACCTGCACAGCTGGCTCAGACTCCAGTGTCCCCTCGCCCTCAGCAGCAGTACGGGCTGAGGCAGCGATGTCCGAGGGCCCTGGGCGGCCCCCCTCGGTGCTGCTGTTCCCACCATGGGGCAAGGCCAGCACCCGGAGTTCTACGTGGGCTGTGGCCTCGCCAGCAGGGTTGGTGGCAATGCAGGTGTAGCCCCCTGCATCCCCCTGAGCCCGTCACCCCAATCTCCAAGGTCCCATTGGGAAAAGCCCGGGCTCGGGAGGAGTTGCCAACCAGCCGATCATCAGGGCCGACCCAGTGCATGGTGGGCGCGGGGTCGCCAAGGGCCCGGCACCGCAGTGTGGCCCGCTGGCCCTCCAGCACCCAGAGGCGCTGCGTGTGGCGGGCAATGAGGGGTGGCTCACAGGAGAACTCGCCCTCTGGCACTGCCCAGAAGTAGCGGCCAGCCAGGCCTGGTGGAGAGGCGCACGTCTCCAGGTCATCGGGCCGGGCCAGCCGCCGCAGCCACAGCAGCTCACAGTTGCAGTGCAGGGGGTTCCCGCTGAAGCTCAGCACCAGGGGGGCGGGGGAGGCCTCGGCGTCACGGCCCCGGGAGAAGAGTGGGTCAGGTGCCAGCGTGGCCAGGCGGTTGGAGGTGAGGTCGAGACGGGAGAGCTGGCTGAGTTGGGCAAAGGCGCCCGGGGGCAGTGCATCAATGAGGTTGTGGTCCAGGTTGAGGGTGTGCAGGGCGGGCATGGCACCGATGCCGGCCCAGGGCACCTGCCGCAGGTTGTTGTAGGACAGGTCCAGGTCCTCCAAGCTGTCCAGGAAGTCGTCGAAGGCCCCTGGTGCAATACGGCCCAGCTGGTTGCCGCTGAGGATGAGGTGCTGCAGGTTGATGGGGCCTCGCAGGCTACCAGTGCCCAGCTCCACCAGCCTGTTGCCGTCCAGGTGCAGGGAGCGCAGGCTCTCTAGGTCCCCGAAGGCGCGGGCCCCAATGCGAGTGATGGCATTGCGGGACAGCGTCAGGTCTACCAGCCCTGTCATGTTGCGGAAGTCTGGTGGCCCCAAGGCCTGGATGAAGTTGTCAGCCAGACGCAGCTCCACTGTGCGCCGGTCCACGTTGGGAGGCACAAACAGCAGGCCTCGGTGGGCACAGAGTGTGCTGAGTGACTCGGACAGGTTCTGGCAGACACAGGGCAGTGGGCAGGCGGCAGCTCCACTGGCCAGCAGCAGCAGCAGGAGTGGTGGGGCCATGGTGAGCGCCCTGTAGGGAAGGGTCACAGCCCAGGCACAAGTAGGGCTGGCACAGGTGCCCACTTGCCCCAGGGCCCGGTTCCAGGGGCCAGCTTTGAGAGGCCTGGCCTGGGGCTAGGGTCAGGGTCAAAGGCCCAAAGGGCTCCCCAAGGCTGAGAGAAGGCTCGGGTTTGTAGGGCCAAGCCCCCCAGAGTAAAGGTGACACTCCCCAAGCAGTTAGGGGGAGTCCAGGCTCCGGGGACAAGGTGAGACATGAGGCAGGAAGCGGAGGTGGCCGTGGAGCAGGGAGGGTCCGGGAACTTCCTTTCCCTGGCGTCCCCTGGAATCGCCAGAATCCCTTCCGCACCATCCCCTCCCCCGCCTGGGAAGGTGCCCCCACAAACCCCTCCCGAGGCCCATTGCCCCTCCCTTGCCAACTCCCACACTGTCCCCCACGGCCCCCTCACCTGGTGTCCGTAGCTCAGGGGGCGCGGGCCGGCCTCCCCGTGGGCCCGGCCGGCCCCCGCCGACTCCAGGCGGCTCTCCCGCGGGGGT